GACTGATGTGAATGTACAATATCTATGTAAAGCGCTGCGTAAATTGACGGCACTATATAAGTGCCTGAAAAAAAGAAATTTTTATTGATATGTTCTGTTCCCCAGGGGACTAAGTACATGTAGTACATGTAGGACTTTTATCCCATTTTACTAAGTGCTGTATGAGGTTACCTGCGATGATGGACAGAGCACCCCTTCTTCCTCTATGGCCACAAACAACGCAGCTAGCGATGACATGGTTGCTTTGAGAGATGGCTTTTTGTCTGTCTCCAAGCACTTGCCCGAGACAAGTGTCTCATGAAGAATGTGGGGGATGGATGTCAGCTAAACATTTCAGGAAAGGAGGCAAATACTCAGAGGTGGAGAAGAATGAGATTTTCTAAGTAGCCATCTCCTTGCTAGCTGCATGGCTGGATGGGTGTAGAGAGAGGAGGGGGTTCTTTATCTGACTACACAGCTTGCTTTTGACAGCACGTAGAAAGATGGGACAAAGTACTACATGTACTTGATTGCCCAGCAAATTACATTCAAATTACTAACGATAACATACAAAGCCATGCACAGCTCTGCCCCGAGCTACAGTACATCACCAATCTTGTCTCCAAATATCATCCAAACTGTCCTCTCTGCTCCTTCCAAGTTCTCTTGTCTGCTCCTCCCCTGCTTGCCTCCAAAACTTCTCTAGAGCCTCTCCCATCCTCTGGAACTCTCTATCTCAGTCTGTCCAGCAACCTCCTCTTCAGGCAATCTCCAAAAGCTCATCTCTTCAGGGAAGCCTATCACACTTTTCACTCTTCCATCAGCTCCTCACCCCCAGTTATATCAATTTGTACCGCTTGCCCCCCTATTAGATTATAAACATAAATAATATTTTGTCCTCTGGGATTAACAAAATGGAAGTGAGACGTCTTCTTTAAGGTTCATTATTTTAGAGATAAAGATGTACCGAGAGATTGTTAATATTTTATTGGTAACAGAGGGGATGGTGTGTGTATGTATAATAATATAAGAAATAGTGATTATTCCATATATATACAGTGCCTTGAAAAAGTATTCATCCCCCTTGAAATTTTCCACAATTTGACATGTTACAGCCAAAAGCATAAATGCGTTTTATTGTGATTTTATGTGAAAGGCCAACACAAAGTGGCACATAATTGTGAAGTGGAAGGAAAATGATAAATGGTTTTCAACATTTTTTACGCATAAATATGTGAAAAGCGTGGCGTGCAATTTGTATTCAGCCCCCGTTACTCTGATATCTCTAACTAAAGAGTCTAGTGGAACCAATTGCCTTTAGAAGTCACCTAGTTAGTAAATAGTCCACCTGTGTGTAATTTATTTTCAGTATAAAAACAGCTGTTCTGTGAAGCCCTCAGAGGTTTGTTAGAAAACATTAGTGAACAAACAGCATTATGAAGGCTAAGGAACACACCAGACAGGTCAGGGATAAAGTTGTGGAGAAGTTTAAAGCAGGGTTAGGTCATAAAAAAATATCCCAAGCTTTGAACATCTCACGGAGCACTGTTCAATCCATCATCTGAAAATGGAAAGAGTATGGCACAACTGCAAACCTACCAAGACATAGCCGTCCACCTAAACTGACAGGCCAGGCAAGCAGAATATTAATCAGAGAAGCAGCCCAGAGGCCCATGGTAACTCTGGAGGAGCTGCAGAGATCCACAGCTTAGGTGGGAGAATCTGTCCACAGGACAAATATTAGTCGAGCACTCCACAAATCTGGCCTTTGTGGAAGAGTGGTAAGAAGAAAGCCATTGTTGAAAGAAAGTCCCATTTGCAGTTTGTGAGAAGCCATGTGGGGGACACAGCAAACATGTGGAAGAAGGTGCTCTGGTCAGATGAGACCAAAATAGCATTTTGCTTTTAGGCCAAAAAGTTCAATGTGTGGCAGAAAACTAACACTACACATCACCCTAAATGCACCATCCCCACCGTGAAACATGGTGATGGCAACATCATGTTATGGGAATGTTTTTCTTCAGCAGGGACAGGGACGCTGGTCAGAGCTGATAGGAAGATGAATGAAGCCAAATACATTATTATTATTATACAGGATTTATATATTGCCAACAGTTACAATATAAATACAGGGCAATCTTAGAAGAGAACCTGTTAGAGTCTGCAAAAGACTTGAGACGGGGCGGAGGATCACCTTCCAGCAGGACAACGACCCTAAACATACAGCCAGAGCTACAATGGAATGGTTTAGATCAAAGCATATCCATGTGTTAGAATGGCCCAGTCAAAGTCCAGATCTAAATCCAATTGAGAATCTGTGGAAAGACTTGAAAATTGCTGTTCACAGATGCTCTCCATCCAATCTGACAGCTTGAGCTACAGTTGCAAGAAAAAGTATGTGAACCCCTTGGGATTATGTGGAGTTTTGCATGAATTGGGCATAAAATGTGCTCTGAACATCATCTAAGTCACAACAATAGAAGAACACAGTCTGCTGAACATAATACTACACAAACATTAGATGTTGCCATGGTTTCATTGCACATAACATGTAAACATTCACAGTGCAGGGAGGAAAAAGTATGTGAACCTTTGGACTTAATAACTGGTTGACCCTCCTTTGGCAGTAATAACCTCAACCAAACGTTTCCTGTAGTTGCAGATCAGACCTGCACAACGATCTGGAGTCATTTTGGACCACTCCTCTTCACAAAACTGTTTCAGTGTAGCAATATTCTTGGGATGTCTGGTGTGAATCGCTCTCTTAAGGTCATGCCACAGCATTTCAATCAGGTTGAGGTCAGGACTCTGACTGGTCCACTCCAGAAGGCGTATTCTGTGCTGTTGCAGCCATTGTTTTGTTGAATTACTTGTATGCTTTGGGTCATTGTCCTGTTGCATCACCCATCCTCTGCGGAGCTTCAGTTGGCGGACAGATGGTCGTACGTTTTCCTGCAAAATGTCTTGATAAACTCTGGAATTCATTTTCCCATCAATGACAACAATCCGCCCAGGCCCTGAGGCAGCAAAGCAGCCCCAAACCATGATGCTCCCTCCGCTATGTTTTACAGTGGGGATGAGGTTTTGATGTTGGTGTGCTGTGCCTTTTTTTCTCCACACACATAGTGTTGTGTGTTCTTCCCAAACAACTCAATCTTGGTTTCATCTGTCCACAGTATATTTTGCCAGTAGTGCTGTGGAACATCCAGGTGCTCTTTTGCAAACTTCAAACGTGCTGCAATATTCTTTTTGGACAGCAATGGCTTCCTCCGTGGTGTCCTCCCATGTACTCCATTCTTGTTTAATGTTTTCCTTATTGTAGATGTGTCAACAAAAATGTTAGCATGTGCCAGAGATTTCTGTAGGTCTTTAGCTGACACTCTGGGATTCTTCTTTACCTCATGCAGCATTCTGCGCTGTGCTCTTGCAGTCATTTTTACAGGACGACCACGCTTAGGGAGAGTAGCAACAGTGCTAAACTTTCTCCATTTGTAGACAGTCTGTCTTACCATGGACACATGAACATCAAGGCTTTTGGAGATACTTTTGTAACCCTTTCCAGCTTCTTGCAAGTCAACAATTCTTGATCGTAGGTCTTCTGAGAGCTCTTTTCTGTGAGGCATGGTTCACATCAGACAGTGCTTCTTGAAACCAGTAAACCCCAAACAGGTGTGTGTTTTTTTAAGGGCAAGACAGCTGTCAGCAACACATCCAATATCATCACACTGTTTTTAGTCAAGGTTGGCTCACTCCTGGCTCCAATTAGCTCTGGGATAACTCATTAACCTAGGGTACTCACATACTTTTTCCTCTCTGCACTGTGAATGTTTACATGTTATGTGCAATTAAACCATGGCAACATCTAATGTTTGTGTAGTATTATGTTCAGCAGACTGTGTTCTTCTATTGTTGTGACTTAGATGACGTTCAGAGCACATTTTATGCCCAATTCATGCAAAACTCCACGTAATACCAAGGGGTTCACATACTTTTTCTTGCAACTGTATTTTGCAAAGAAGAATGGGCAAAAATGTCCCTCTCTAGATGTGCAAAGCTGATAGAGACAACCCCAAAAAGACTTGCAGCTGTAATTGCAGCGAAAGGTGGTTCTACAAAGTATTGACTCCGGTGGGCTGAATACAAATACACGCCACACTTTTCACATATTTGTTAAAAATTTTGAAAACCATTTATCATTTTCCTTCCACTTCACAATTATGTACCACTTTGCGTTGATCTATCACATAAAATCCCAATAAAATACATTTACGTTTTTGGTTGTAACATGACAAAATGGGGAACATTTCAAGGGGTATGAATACTTTTCAAGGCACTGTATATACAGTACATTTCAGTTACAGTATGAGGTGGTATCAAAAACTTTTGAGACTAGTGATGTAACATGCTGACAGATGTCAACACAAGGCTACATGCACAGTCAGAGGGAGCACCAACCTTCGTAAGTCAGTGTGCCATCGTCTTGCGTACATCGGGAGCTGTGCAACTGGTGCTATTCTGACCACGTGCATTACCACATCTGCTATTTCATCATGGACAGCAAGTTAGAACAAACAGTCACAAATGTGAAATTCTGCATGAAACTGGGTAAATCTGCCACAGACAATTGACATGATTCAGCAAGTTTATATGGAAAGGCTTGGGGTACTAATCTTCTGCTTTGGTATCCGATAGCAGTCAATTAAAAGACAACATAGAGCAGTTTTCAACTTTTGAAGTGAGGACTAAATCCAGTAAACCCTGGCAATGGAGAGAAGAATAGAATATGGTCAACAACAGTATCAGAAGCAGCTATCAATGGTGGACAGCTTTTGAAATACAAATATTTTCAGTGATGAAATGGGGTAAGGGGGGAAGAGGCAGCAATGGGTACAAAGGCCGCTATTCATATATAGAACCCCAGTACAAGGGTTTTTATTTTTGTGTTTTAAAAAACTTTACTTTTTCAATAATAAGACTGCACAGGGCACCTTATTTATTTTAGTGGGGGGGGGGGTGTTTGTTGTCACCAGCAGGGGCAGACTGACCATTTGGAAACTCGGGCACTGCCCGAGGGCCCGGGGTCAGTAGGGGGCCCATGAGATGCCCCTGGTACCTTTTTCATAGGCTTTTTTGAGTTTGGGCAAGGACACAGGGGCCCCATGATCCCCTATTGCTGGGGGCCCCATGAGTTGTCAGTCCGCCCCTGGTCACCAGGTAACCAAAACACAGGGCAAGTCCCATGTGCTGCCTGTCTACAGGATAAGGGTGATCAATATGTCATAAAAGGTGAAATCTATGATTTATTGCATCTTCAAAAACATCACATACTGGTGTCCAGACACTGCCATTTAAATCTAACAACGCCTTTGGACAATGTAGGTCCTAGTCAAAACACACTTTTTCTCATCTTTAGAAACCAGTATTTGATGATCTTAAAGCGATATTAAACCCATAACCAAAAATATAATCTATTGCAGCTTACCAATCATTACATGTTGTGGCTGCATTCGTTTTCTTTTTCATGTTTGTTTTCCCCCTCTGTTGTCACCTGGCCAGTAAAACACTTCCTGTATTAGAGTTCTCTCACTATGGATGAAGGAGCACAGGGAGCACCGTTGGGTAGCAGCATTGTCAGTCTCAGGGGAGGGGGAGTGTTAGATGTACTAGCAGATTTACATACACTTACAAATTGAAGCTGAACTCCAGTTAAATTTTTAAGCAGTTACAGAAAACATTTTTTTTTTCCTTTTGGATTAAAGGTTTTACGTAAATAAATAATTAAATAAAAGCATTGTAAGCAACCCTGTTGGTGGTAAACGGTTTGTCTCAACTCCATTACAGCTACATCATCAGCTTGTTCTCTTGAAAAACAACAGACTTACTGGCTGGATCACTGGGTAATAATAAATGAGTGAAAACAAAAGCAGCCACCACATCCAAGAATTGGTAAACTGCAATATAAACAATTTATGTTTCAGGGTATAAAGTTGCTCTAAAGATGCAATAAAACCTTACATTTTAGTAGAAGTAGTGTGCTGGTCACCTTTTATTCCTTATCTGTTTGAATTTGATTAGGAGCATGTGGACCTTCCAACCTGCCGGCATTGCTGGAGTGAGGGAGTAATAGGTGAGCTGGCAGACTCTTTTCTTTTCTACAGTGTTGTACTTTCTGCTAGCGTACCGCACCACTTTCACCCTCTCATGTCAGTGAAACAGTTGGGTTGGTGTACTAAGGAGTAAAGTCTGTTCAGATAACAAAGTGTATATACCCTATGCAAAGTGAATGTGAACCTGTGTTCAATTTGAACACCCAATCACATACTAGCTGTTTGATTTTACTTCCCTGACACATAATTGGGTATTTATAGAGAACACAGGGTTGCATTTTTGCCAACATTCACTTAGGTGGAACTCAGACTTAGCACACAGCAGGAGCCTGCAAATACACTATATTGCCAAAAGTATTGGGACTCCCCTCCAAGTCATTGGATTCTGGTGTTCCAATCACCTCCATGGACACAGGTGTATAAAATCAACCACCTAGGCATGCAGACTGCTTCTACAAACATTTATGAAAGAATGGGCCGCTCTCAGGAGCTCAGTGATGTCAAGCATGGTACCGTGATAGGTTGCCACCTGTGCAATAAGTCCATCCGTGACATTTCCTTGCTACTAAATATTCCACGGTCAACTGTTAGTGGTATTATAACAAAGTGGAAGCAACTGGGAACAACAGAAACTCAGCCATGAAGTGGTAGGCAACATAAAATGACAGAGCGGGGTCAACGCATGCTGAAGCGCACAGCGCGCAGAAGTCACCAACTGTCTGCAGAGTCAATAGTTAAAGACCTCCAAACCTCATGTGGCCTTCAGATTAGCACAACAACAGTGCGTAGAGAGCTCCATAGAATGGGTTTCCATGGCTGAGCAGCTGCATCCAATCCTTACATCACCAAGTGGAATGCAAAGTGTTGGATGCAGTGGTGTAAAGCATGCCGCCACTGGACTCTAGAGCAGTGGAGAAGTGTTCTCTGGAGTGACGAATCACGCTTCTCTGTCTGGCAATCTGATGGACGTGTCAGGGTTTGGCATTTGCCAGGAGAACGGTACTTGCCTGACTGCAGTGTGTCAAGTGTAAAGTTTGATGGGGGGGGGATTATGGTGTGGGGTTGTTTTCAAGGGTTCGGCTTGGCCCCTTAGTTCCAATGAAGGGAAATCTTAAGATGACATTTTGGATAATTTTATGCTGCCAACTTTGTGGGAACAGTTTGGGGAAGACCCCTTCATGTTCCAGCATGACTGCACACCAGTGCACAAAGCAAGGTCCATAAAGACATGGATGAGTGAGTTTGGGGTGGAGGAACCTGACTGTTCTGCACAGAGTCCTAACCTCAACCCGATAGAACACCTTTGGGATGAATTAGAGTGGAGACTGTGAGCCAGGCCTTCTCGTCCGACATCAGTGCCTGACCTCACAAATGCACTTCTGGAAGAATGGTCAAACCTTCCCATAGACACCCTCCTAAACCTTGTGGACAGCCTTCCCAGAAGAGTTGTAGCTGTTATAGCTGTGAGGGTGGGCCAACTGAATATTGAACCCTACGGACTACGACTGGGATGCCATTATAGTTCATGTGCGTGTAAAGGCAGGCCGACCAATACTTTTGGCAATATAGTGTATCAGGGACTACCAAGGCAACCAGTTCTTCACTGATGTCAGAACGCTCGGCACCTTGAAAGTTCCTTCTTAGCATGTACCTGATTTTTTTAACAGGTAAAGTACCTGTTTATGTTTTATCTGTAACTTTTGCTGAAAGGATAGCTTTAAAGCAGTATTAAATCCAAAAGCAAACATTTTTACAATGCAGCTTACCAGTTCATAGATGTGTTGGCTGCATTAGTTTTCTTTTTTTTTAGACTTTCTTCTATTTTCATCTGGTGATCCAGTCTGTTGTTTTTCACAAGCTCCAGCTATCCAGCAGAATACAGGTGAAACTCAAAAAATTAGGATAGCGTGCAAAAGTTAATTTATTTCAGTAATGCAACTTAAAAGGTGAAACTAATATATGAGATAGACTCATTACATGCAAAGCAAGATAGTTCAAGCCGTGATTTGTCATCATTGTGATGATTATGGCTTACAGCTCATGAAAACCCCAAATCCACAATCTCAGAAAATTAGAATATTGTGAAAAGGTGGAATATTCTCAGCTCAAAGTGTCCAACTCTAATCAGCTAATTAAGCAATAACACCTGCAAAGGGTTCCTGAGCCTTTAAATGGTCTCTCAGTCTGGTTCAGTAGGATCCACATCATGGGAAAGACTGCTGACCTGACAGTTGTGCAGAGAACCATCATTGACACCCTCCGTAAGGAGGGAAAGTCTCAAAAGGTAATTGCAAAAGAAGTTGGATGTTCCCAAAGTGCTGTATCAAAGCACATTAATAGAAAGTTATGTGGAAGGGAAAAGTGTGGAAGAAAAAGGTGTACAAGCAACTGGGATGACCGCAGCCTGGAGAGGATTGGCAGGAAAAGGCCATTCAAAAGTGTTGGGAACTTTCACAAGGAGTGGACTGAGGCTGGAGTCAGTGCATCAAGAGCCACCACACACAGACGGATCCTGGACATGGGCTTCAAATGTCGTATTCCTCTTGTCAAGCCGCTCCTGAACAACAAACAACGTCAGAAGCGTCTTACCTGGGCTAAAGAAAAACAGACCTGGTCTGTTGCTCAGTGGTCCAAAGTCCTCTTTTCTGATGAGAGCAACTTTTGCATCTCATTTGGAAACCAAGGACCCAGAGTATGGAGGAAGAATGGAGAGGCACACACTGCAAGATGCTTGAAGTCCATTGTGAAGTTTCCACAGTCTGTGTTGATTTGGGGAGCCATGTCATCTGCTGGTGTTGGTCCACTGTGCTTCATTAAGTCCAGGGTCAACGCAGCCGTCTACCAGGAGATTTTGGAGCACTTCATGCTTCCTTTCACAGACGAGCTTTATGGGGATGCTGACTTCATTTTCCAGCAGGACTTGGCACCTGCTCACACTGCCAAAAGCACCAATACCTGGTTCAATGACCGTGAGATTACTGTGCTTGTTTGGCCAGCAAACTCGCCTGACCTGAACCCCATAGAGAATCTATGGGGCATTGCCAAGAGAAAGATGAGAGACATGAGACCGAAAAATGCAGAAGAGCTGAAGGCCGCTATTGAAGCATCCTGGTCTTCCATAACACCTTAGCAGTGCCACAGGCTGATAGCTTCCATGCCACGCCGCATTGAGGCAGTAATTGCTGCAAAAGGGGCCCAAACCAAGTCCTGAGTACATATGCATGCTTATACTTTTCAGAGGTCCGATATTGTTCTATGTACAATCCTTGTTTTATTGATTGCATGTAATATTCTCATTTTCTGAGATTGTGGATTTGGGGTTTTCATGAGCTGTAAGCCATAATCATCACAATTATGACAAATCACGGCCTGAACTATCTTGCTTTGAATGTAATGAGTCTATCTCATATATTTCACCTTTTAAGTTGCATTACTGAAATAAATGAACTTTTGCACGATATTCTAATTTTTGGAGTTTTACCTGTATATCAGTTTACAGGGATGAGACAAAACCCTTAACACTGGCAGAGGTGATTAAAATGATTGGCTTTTATTGATTCAGGTTTAGATTGTAAGCTCCATGAGCAGGGCTCTCCTACTCCTTCTGTATTGAAATTGTACTGTCCCCCTTTATACTGTACAAACTGATGCTATATAAATCCTATATAATTCATATAAAACCTTTATCCCAAAAGGAAAAAAAATGTTTGCTGTAACTGATTGTAAAGTGTGAGCTGGAGTTTGGCTTCAATTTGTTAGTGTATCTACAGTCAGGTCCATAAATATTGGGACATCGATACAATTCTAACATTTTTGGCTCTATACACCACCACAATGGATTTGAAATGAAACAAACAAGATGTGCTTTAACTGCAGACTGTCAGCTTTAATTTGAGGGTATTTACATCCAAATCAGGTGAACGGTGTAGGAATTACAACAGTTTGTATATGTGCCTCCCACTCGTTAAGGGACCAAAAGTAATGGGACAGAATAATAATCATAAATCAAACTTTCACTTTTTAATACTTGGTTTCAAATCCTTTGCAGTCAATTACAGCCTGAAGTCTGGAACGCATAGACATCATCAGACGCTGGGTTTCATCCCTGGTGATGCTCTGCCAGGCCT